TTTTTTTTTTCACGTCTCCTTGACACCGCAGTGTTTTCCAATTACATGTTGGTTTGTAAGTGCAAGAACGCACAAAGGACGTTTCTGATATGAGCCTTCATCGTGGGAATGTGTTTCTTTCTTCTCTGTGAAGCCCTTTGAGACCTGAATGTAATTAAAGAACTGAGGGTTCTAGGTGTTTGACAGGCCCTGTGTAGCACTGTGTGTGTCATGCTGTAGCACTAAGGACTGTAGTCGCTGATGGACATTACAGGCTGCCTTTACTGACCGATCTGAGGAAGTCGTGTTTGCTTGTTCACAGAACTTAACTCTTCATCGATTTACGTTTGCGACGAGTCAAACTTTATCACCTTCAACCTCTTAAGACCTGAGCTCTTGTTTGATATGCGTTTTTATTTCTCTTTGCTATTTGATAAAAAAAAAAAATATAAAAAAAAAATAAATCTTCAAACGCGTATGAATCATCAACTCTTCAAACGTTTTGCTGGTAAAATAAATGAGCTGTGAAATCCACTGTTTGTTCTCAGCTGGAACTGAAGGATCTGAAAAATCTGATGTAATGAAGTTGATGATAAAATGGACGACTTACAATGGAAATATTAAATATGTACATGTTTTGTAGATTGGACTTACTGATGAGTCACCTGTTTGTTGAACACGCCACAGTCGCAGCTCTTAGTGCTAAAACATGATCTTAATAAATATTAAACACCAACCTTTATACAAATCCTGTCCAGTAATAATGATAAAAACCTCAAGACCTGCAAACAACCTGAACACTTGGAAACCAAAAACAGTTTAGAGTTGACTTTGTGTTGTTGTATTTATTTGAATCCAGTTTTTTTTTCAAATCGGCGTGTTTTTGGGGATTGTGGGAGGAAACCAGAGCCTCCACACAGAGATAAAACAGCCGGACAGACAGATTAATTATTACTATTATTAAGTCATGATAGACTATTTAAGGTCTGTGTTGCATCGTATACAATATTAATAATACTTTTTTTTCCCCTCCATCTTTCTTTTTGACCGTCGATCATAATGCAGCTGAGGAGCTGAGGAATCGTTTTCTCCTCTACATATAAATTACACTTTATTTAAAAGTCAAATCCCGTGATGTAATTGGATCATCGACTGGGAGAAAAGCTTAACTACACACTCTTGGTATCTACTCGTTAAATCATTCTTTGCATTATAATGACTGTTTGCAGAATATATTTGAAGTCGAGATGCTGTTTTAGAGGAGTCGAGTAGTCCTCTGCTACTTGAGGAGTTTTTTTTTTTTTTTCCGGTGTCAGGACGGGAGTGTTAGCGTTTGAGGGCAGGAGGTTAAAACTTGAGCAACACTTGTGCTCTTAAGAACTCCGCTGGTAGATAAACACATTTTTTTGGCAAGTGGCCTCATAAAACATTTCAAAAGAGCGTTTCAGTGAGAGCACGGGAGGGAAAAAGTAAAATGGAGGATCGAGAAAAGGATGTTAAGGCAAAGAGAAATACATGTACAGCCTGTTTAAAGCAGGAAATATGTTACTGTCTGAGTTTGTTGCATCACAGGAAACTGTTTAGAACCACCCAGCCACATTTGGATTGTTAAAAATAAACCACCAAGTACATTAATTTGAGTTTTCAAAATGTTTTTTTAAAAAAATACTCTACCATGAAACACTGGGGGCGTGTTCGCCAACCACGCTGATGTAAAATCATAACAACTCAGCTGTAGATGTGAAATATTTTGCCACTTTGCAGCTGTGCGATAAGTGACCTACTATAATAAGCTAAGCACACTCAGCAGCGTCCACTCATTGCTGTGTTTGTACCGGCGATGATGGCACCAGATGTTGGCAGGACGCAGAGGATGAAGGCCAAGAAGGGACGTGGTTTGTTTGACCCCCGTTCAGCAGTAGCTGCAAATTATCTGTGAATCCCACTCGTCTCAGAGGAACGTTTGTAAAACCTCCTGGTGTAAAATGGTCACTGCAGAAGTGAGTGTTGTTTAGTGATCCTCAGCTTTTCGTCAATGTGGCTCTTCACAAAATCACTCTGCATCTCCTCATTCTGCCGAGACCAGATAAGCTGGTCTGCAAACTCTGGCATCTGGAGATGTATTTGCACAGCTCGCCTGCAGAATGTCGGCTGAATCAAATCAAGTTTATTCTCATTTTGCTGTACATACAACAGTAGTACAGGCAAGATGTGAGAGCGTTTCTTCAGGATTCAATAACTTAAAGCAATTTAAATAAACAAGTGTTTGCATATCCTGATCAGCAGTTCAGCATTCTGTCAGCTTGTGGCATGAAGCTGTTGATCATTGTGGAGGTTCTTCGTTCAATGCTCAGGAAACGTTTTCCTGATGGCTGCAGTTCAAACGGTTCATGGAGAGGCTGTGAGGAGTCCGTAACAATGTTCAGGGTCCTGCTCCTGCAGCAGCTCTGGAAAAGTTCTTGAACAGAGGGGAGGGAAACTCACTTGGTAAAAGGACCCATGCAAAACATGGCTTCTGCTGCAGTGCATCATTGAGCCCTGATGTTTGACCTGAAAGTCCTGAACACAGAAATGATGAATAACAGTCTAAATCTTCTCATGTTTTTATCAGTTATTTTCTGACACATTACGTAGGATTTCAGACAAATCTCGCGCATTGAATTCAGCAGTAAATGTCAACAAATAAATTAAATATGATCTCATCTTGATTTGCAAAAGTCAGATCCATCACACGCATAATGCAAACCTCCGTCTTCTGTTTCCTACAGAGAAAAGAAGCTGTCCTCTTTCCTGCCAGCCCATGTCGTCATGGGGAGTGGAGGTCTGCTCTCCACGTTGCGAGGGAAGTCGAGCCGTCACGCCGGGCTAGAGCAGAAGCTCTTGGAGGAGTACAGAAAGATCAGCACATCTGCCGGGAACTCTCCTGAGCCCACACAGCTCCTACACCAGTACCTCAACACATGTCACTCTCTGCCTTATTATGGGTATGAATTTGTGTGAAGAGCCGTTTATACACTGGAACAGTCGTTAGCTTTAAAAATGAAATGCAAGTAATTCACAGAGCTTAAACCTCTAACATTAACAGGTGCGCGTTCTTCTTTGGGGAGATCGACAAACCGGCGCAAGGGATCCTCCAAAGGGCAAAACGTAAAGCCGTCAATGTTGGGATCTGCTTGGAGGGAGTTTATGTGATGGACGTTAAAGAGAAGGTGAGTTTTTGGTTTGCCACTTTGCCATGTTTCTGACTTTGTGCGTGTGTTAGATACTCATTTTGCAGTTTTCTTTTCTCTTCATTAAAACTTTCCCCGTTTCTCTTGTTGAACCCGCTTTCTTGCAGCATGTGCTGCTCGGCCTGCGTTTCAGCGAGCTCTCCTGGGACCACAGCTACCCAGAGGAGGAGGGCGACTCGCACATTCTGTGGCTGGAGTTCGACGGAGAGGAAGATGGCACTCCTGTCAACAAGTTGCTAAAGATCTACTCGAAACAGGTAAGAAAAATGTTTGTGAGATGAAATGAAATCACCTCATATGATCGTGTCCTCCATCTGCTTGAATCTGAACATCAATTCGAGAACATCTTGCAGCTGGAGAGGGTGACAGATGTAGGCTTCCTGTGCGTGTCTCACTTCAGATGTTCTCGACGAGGAGAGATGATGTGCAGGCATCTCTGGAGAGCTGCACTGCACCTGCTGTTTTTGAGCTGCTCAGTATGGGTGCAGCTGCTTTGCCCATTTGTTCTGAGAATAACATAACTCTTGATATTAATGTCGGAGCCTAAAAGATGTTGAAATAATTCACTCAATGACTGTCTGAGCCTCTGGATGGTGAAGAGATGTTACGTAATGTTCGAGGCACTAAAGCATAATCACACCAGGCTCTAGTCCAATGACGGCAACGTGAACCCTATGTGCTTATGGTTCACTAATGGACTATTAAAAAGTAGATTACAGCTGTTAATTTTATACACTTAGAAGGATCAGACTCAATCATTTTTTTTCTGTGAACCAGGCCGAGCTAATGAGCGGCTTCATTGAGTTCTGTGTGGAGCTGAAATCTGCATCCGAGGGCGGAGCTGCAGCCGAGGTGGACGGCGACGTGAGTCTGTCTCAGCAGCCCGCCGGGCAGGAAGGCAGGAACAAGAACGGGCGTGGAGGACGGCGCGGGATGCTGCACAGGCAAGGCAGCGTTGTGTGCAGTCGGGTCCACTCACTGAACACCATCAGCTACGTGGACAACGGTGAGTCTGAGAGTTCTAGTTGGTAGCAGCTTACTTAAGGCCTTTTCAGACACGGGACACGTGACCTAAAGCTTCTCAAAATGTTCACTAGTTAACCGCCAAGTTGACTTATTATCCTAAACTCTGAAAATACTGCCCATCTGTGATGTACCTCCTACCAACAGTAAAATAAAAACATCCCGACAGCTGTGGTGGAGCTCAGGACTTGATGTGAGGATGGCTGCTCTGTAACAAGTGATTTACCTGCAGCTGGTGAACTGTGACTCTGTGTGACAGCTCATCTGTCTAACGTACAGAAAAGTACCAGAGTGACCTGCTGTTGGATCCTGATTGATCCTGGCTCCATGTCTTGGATGATTCATATAACTGATGAAGTGACTGTTGTTCCACTTCTGTAAATGTGCTCTTGATTTGAACACACAAACACGGACCATGCTGCTTTCAGATGCTGCAGGTATTTAATAAACTCAGGAGAAAGACACCTACAAACACCAAACTAAACTTTAACTCCTGTAAATGTTGTCTTTGAACCCTGGACTACATTCAGGACATACATTAATCTGACCTGTTAAAGGCAGAGCTCCTCATCGCTGCAAAGTTTTATTGTTGCATAGATTTTAGTTTGCAGCAGATCAACACTGTAGATAAGAGGAGTGTTGTGTGATTTTTGGCATGCAGACTGTGTTTCTAGGATGTTTTTGGATGAATACTGTTGCTGACATGTGGAAAAAGCAGC